AAGATCATAACTTCAAAGATAGCAAGAAATAAGAAACTAAGACCACCAAGTATTGTAAATGAGTTTACAAAACAACATTTCCTTGGGTTTAAGGGTCTTCTATGTTCCTTACTTCTTCTTTTCCTCTTCTTCTTCTTTTCTTCTTTAAGAGATGATGTCCTACAAAAAAAATCTCTCATTTCTCTCATTTTGCCTAGGAGACTTTTCAGGTTTTCATCCTAGCATCTTAATGTGAGTTTTCTCGCACTTAAAATGGTTGTAGAAAAGTGGTTGAAAGTACGAGTATCGTCTCCACAGGGACGGACAAAAGGGAATTAAAGATTAACTAAATTCAGCGATTAACAAGAAATAAATAAAATAAAATGCAATTGTGCGAGATTGGTTGATTGAATAAAATAAAACTAACGCTAATGAGCAAATAAAAAGATTGGGTTTTTCCTTAATTAACGACGAAGGGAACAGGAATTGATTCCGGGGTTAACCAGATTTCTGGCAGAACAGGCCTAATTACATGAATTTAATTGAGCCTAGCTAATCATTACTAAGTTCTTACCGCTCTCGCGGCGTAGAGTACAATAATTTAGGGGACCAGGCTGATCTCTCATGCGACAGGATCCTAAATTATTGCCAAGACGAGCGAGCTTACGGCCCCTTAATCGCTACTAATTTCTTAGCGAACGATTAAGTGTGTGTGAATGTGTCCTAGAATAAATTAGATCTCTCTTAATTTATTCTACAAGCTATTGTAATTCTAGTCGCGATTCTAGGTTACAAAAGATATCAGTTAAATTATTCAAACACAAATTAAACGACATTCATACAATTAAACCGAAGAGAATCTAGCCTTCATTCATGATTAACCCCTTCATCAACTCCAAATCCCTAATTAAACTACCCACGCCTCATAATTGACGAATCAAAAGAATTGGGATTAATAGAATAGATTGTCATTAATTAATAGAATTGATCTTACAAAGAATCCCAGGTTCTCGAAGTAAACAACGTAAAAACGCAGGTAAAATTTGTCCTAGGCCTCTCCACAAAGTTCGTCACCCCCAAACGGGGTTATGGAAGCCTTATTTATAGAAAACAACGAATTCGGGTCGAATTAGGACCAATCGCGGCCAGGCACGACCGTGCCTGCGGAAGAGGCCCGTAATTCGCGTCCAGGCACGGCGTGCCTAACTGCCAGGCACGACCGTGTAATTATCATTTGCTTGAAATCTCTCATTCTTGACCTTCTGAATCCATTTCATGTCACGATTTGAAATATCACCTGTCTTGCTCCCGATAGAAAAAGAGACATAGTTTTCAATCACAGGCCTTCAAGATACTAGTATTGGTCCCTGAAGCAGTCACATGGTTAAAGCTCCTGTTAGTTAAAATAAATTAAATTTAAATGATACATTAACTTGACAATAAACAAGTACTCCCTCCGTCCCGCTAAGATTGTCCCATTTTACCTTTTCGGGAAGTCCCACTAAGATTGTCTCATACCAAATCTGGTAAAGATTGTGTGGCTCTAAACCATTCTTACTTTATTCTTACTTTATCAATTTAATATCAACCACACAAACTCATTTTCTTAATAATTGTGCCACCTTCTTCCGTCCCAATCTTAGTGGGACGGAGGTAGTATTACGTAATATTCAAACCCCATTAATAAAGAAGTCATAGAGAAAACATACACAAGCTACGGGTACTTTACAAGATGAACTCACATAATTGTCTGTACACAGACAACTTGACCGGCTACACAGACAAATTGAGTGGCGATTTATGAAGAAAATCGATTTTATACAGACAAAAATAAAAAAAATTGTGTGTATCACACATACTTTATAATAAAGAAGTCATAGAGAGGACATACACAAGCTATTGGTACTTTACAAGATGTACTTACATAATTGTTTGTACACAGACAACTTGATAGAAATAAAAAAATGTCTGTATCACAGACACTTTATGAAAATTTAAGATCTAAAATGTCTGCGATACAGACAAATCTTTATATTTTGTCTGTGAAAATCGATTTAACAGACAAATCTTTATATTTTGTCTGTGATACAGACAAAAATTTAAATGATAAATATCAAAAAATCTATTTAGTATAACAAGTGTAATAAGTACTAGTATTCAACATCATAACAACATATCATAACAACATATGTGACATACAAAATTAAAAAGGGAACATATATACCCTAAATGCACAAAAAATATGAAATAAAGTATTACCTCATGAATTATATTTGAGAGAGCAAAGTAAATTCAAGTTGTGACTCCTCCTATTTTTCTGACCGGATTTAGATCTGCAAAAAAAGTGAGAGCAAACAGGAAAAGAGAAGAAAAAAGATAGAGAAAGGGAGATAAAGAGAGGAAAGAAAAAGAAAAGAGGGAAAGAGGAAGAGAAAAGAAATGAAGATAGAGGGAGAAGAAAAGAGGCTGGAGATGTTGGGCGCATGGAGGGAGAGAAAAGAAAAAGAAAAGAGGTATAGGGAGAAGGAAGTTGGGCGCAAGGAAGGAGAGGAAAAAGGGAAAAGAAAGGAAGGAGGGAGGGGAGGGGTTAATAGGTTGGAAAAGAAGGGGGTGAGAGTTTTTGTGCTGTGTAGATGATGTGTACATTGTTGTGTACATAGAGCATTTCCCTACTCCGTATTATGTTCCTGTCATTGTTTAATCATTTATTTATATGCAACTGTGTAGTGCGTACTCATAAGGTATACCTTGTTTAACATAGTACTCCGTATATTTTTGTTGAAGTTGTGAGAATAATGGAACATGATGCTCTCAATAGAGCCCTGACAGATATATTTATACTAGTAGGAACTTAATGTAAAGTACAAGAGTAGTCCTATTATAATGGCCACGAGGAACTGACTGGCCACCCCCTCCAGGGTTGTAAACGGACTGCGCGTGAGGAATCCAGTACCCCTGCTGGCCGTTCATTGGAGGGGCTCCTCGACCTCTGCCCCGACCACCGTGGCCTCTTCCTCGACCTCGGCCGCGTCCGCGCTGCTGCTGGTTCGGAGCTCTCTGCTGCCCGACCGGGTTCGGCTGCTGCCCGATCGGATGCTGCTGCTGCATGGGTGCTGCCTGCGCACCAGGTTGCTGACCGAGACCAGGGGTAACAGTACCAAAAGCCTGATGAATGGACGAGGCCTCCTGAGAGCGAAGATAGATGACCCGATGTTCTAACTCAAGGAGATGATTGCGAAGTGTTTCAAAAGGAAAGTTATGTGGAAACAATGAGACGGTGGTAAATAGGGACTCATACTCGGGGCCAAGTCCCATAATTGTAGTTTTTAGAACTTCCCGAGGCGGCACAGGGCAGTTGATTGTGGCAAGATCATCGACTAGAATTTTAATTTCTCGTAGGTATTGATCCATAGACTGATCAGGTTTCTTTTTAATGTGATTCAACAACCGCTTTAATTCCATAGAGCGAGCCAAACTAGCGGACATAAAACGAGACTCCAAACGCTCCCGAATTTCACATGAATGTTTCAAATCACGAACATCGATAAGTACATCCCGAGAGAGGGTTGCAAATAACCATGATCGGATAGTTTGATCAATTCGGAGCCAAATTGAGAATTCAGGATTTGGAGTGGGACGATTAAGCACATCTATGGAAGAAGCAGAAGGTACCTGAATGGAGCCATCGACCATGCCTAGAAGGCCTTGTGAGACCAAAAATAATTCGAACTGGGTACGCCAGGTAGTATAATCCTCCACCGCCAAAAGTTTGGTAGTCACAATATTGGTGACATTAGTTGCCACATGAGAAATCGTTTGGGCTAGTTCAGCTAAGGGAGAGGTGATGCTGCCGCTGGCTGGTCGAAGAGGTGATATCGTGGAGGAGATTCCAGGTGAGCTGACGAAGGTGGTGCCCGCATATGTAGATGCCGAGAATGGTGGCGGCTCTAGCGAAACCGGTGGAACCGAGGTAGAGGCCGACCACGGGAATACCGGTGGAAGATTCTGAAACAAGGAGTACGGCATCGTAGGCCGGCTTGGTGACGCAAAATTAGAGGAGAAGGTCACGCCGGAAGAGACGGTGGTGATCGCCGGCCGCGTTCCGAAGGAGAATGGAGCGCAGGTGGATGCCGTGGTGCTGGCATCGACGGACGACGTGACGAGATGGGACATCGTCGTCGAGCATGGAGCTGCGGATGCTGAGGAAGCCGGAGTAGTCATCGTGGTCGAGAGCTGGTTGTGGACCGAAGATGGAAGGCGGCGGCTGCAGAGAGAAAGCCAGGCGGCGCCGAAGGAAGAGAATAAAAATTAGGTTTTTATCTGTGCTCTTGATACCATGTGAGAATAATGGAACAAGATGCTCTCAATAGAGCCCTGGCAGATATATTTATACTAGTAGGAATTTAATGTAAAGTACAAGAGTAGTCCTATTATAATTCTATTAGAAATAAGTGAATAAATAAATTGATTTTTGTTGCCCAGCAATTTAAAGCTAAAATGGTAGCTAATTAACTCGTTTAATTTTTATGACCTAATATTATTTTCAAAAATAGTTGAAAGAAAAAACAGTAAGGATGTTTTCTTTTGGACTGAAATTTGCTGGTCTGATCTGTTTAAGTCTGGTCTGGTCTGGTCTGAACTGATATGGTCTGGTATGGTAAACATCTAGTCTCTGTGTATTTTATAACTACGGAAGTCTAATCTGGTATGGTCTGTTTAAGTCTGATCTGGTCTGGTCTGAGACTGAAAACAGTCCAAAAGAAAACATCCTAAGAGGTGAGACTAGAAACCAAGTAAATGTGATTTATAAAAACATCAGAAAAAAATAGTTTATGAGTTAGAAATCTTGGACTCTTGGTACTAACCAACGAGTACAACAAATTAAATGCTTTTACACTTCATTTATTATCATATAACTAAAGCGTCCATTATTAAGTTTATTGGTAAGACCTACATTTTAAAATGATGAACATTATGATATATAAATAAATTTTGAAATAACAAAATGTGGTGGCATGCAGATCGTTTTTGTTGAAAATAAACGGCTGACATCAACATTGCTGGAAGACATTGAAGAGAGCCAACTCCCAGAGATCTATGGAGGCAAACAGTCCTTGGTCCCCATACACGAAGCCTAGTTGCAGATTGTTGAGCTAAAAAAGTATTGCAAACTGCATGTCACAACAAAAGAATAATAAATATGTTACACATAGATATATGGCCGTGACAAAATGAAGGTAAAAAAAATGTGACAAGCTCGATGTTTCTGTCACCCCAAAATTCGTGGCAATAATAGTGTATGTGTTTCAACGGTGATGCAGAGCAGGGAGAAAAACTAGTGAAGTTGGGATTGTGGACATTTCTATATCAGATTAATTGTAAGAGATATATACTTGCAGGGCCGGTCATGAGAAAATGGAGGCCCTGTGCAATAACAAAATTTGAGCCTTTCTTTCTGGCATAAATATTGATCGACAAATAGATGTTCTTAAAACATAGTTGCAGCAATTATAACTTTATTAAATATAAATAGTCCAATTAACTCATCAACTAATTACATTTAATTCTAAATAACAACCAAATTTGTTAAATTTCATTACTTCATCAATTCATCATACATTATTACATTAGTAGAGTAGTAGTAGTACTACTAAAAAATTTATTTTGGGCCCTCCAATTTTTTGGGTCCTGTGCGGTCGCACACCCTAAACTCCCTCTGGGCCGGCCCTGTATATTTGTTTAATTTTATAAGATCGAAATCTTTTGTATTTTCGTACCATTCTATTATTATTAATAATATCGGTCCCGCAGTTCAAGCTGTTTCACTGTTTCTACTAAATTAAAGCTAGAGTCCGTATAATCAAATTAGTGAAATAAATTATATTCATAGCTCATATGGATTCATTTATAACGTATAATTACCACAATCTTGCTTTCAATTGCATTTTGTAAAATTCAATTCTATTAGTTTGATGAATAAAAGTTCACATTCCAACGTTATTCAAATTTCAAAGGCCTCACTTATATATACATCCAGCTCACGTTATTTGGAAAGTAACAAATAGGAAATTTAAGGACGAGTTTACAATGTGACTAATTGAGTACTAGTAAAAGGTTTGTAATATTGGTCACTGAGGTGGTGGGGTCACATTCGCAGTTAGGCACCGCGCGGTTCAGTGGTACGACTACAGTGTAAGTGTCATTGGGGCGGCTATTCACTGTATCACATGAGTCACCTTCAATAGATCACTAGAGCATTGGTGTCAGGTCATTGCGAGGATGGTGTCACTACAGATTTGGAGTGATAATTTATAGGGGTGGACACGGTCCAGAACGGTTCAATAATTTGACGAATCCGAACTCATACTGTGACTATTGAAACAATCCGATTTGATTCAGTCTTAGACTTAAATCCGTTCAATACGATTTCATTTCAAACGGGGCAGTACTATGCTATACTAATACCAAACAATGTCACTTTTTCCGGAAAAATTAAAGTTCAGTCATCCTTCAAACATTTATGCAACTTATCAATTTTTATATTACATAATTAATAAATTTATGATAAACTATAGTAGTACACAAAACACAAAACACTAATTTGTGATGTGCGTTTGTGTTTATTTAATTTGAGATGTATAAAACATAAATCTACACAATGGTATACATGTACTTCAAACCATACTTCAGTTCAGTTCGGTCCGGTACCAGTCATCGCATGGATTGGAACTGGTACGATCTGGTTCAGGATATAAAAAAATTGAGATCCGTTTCAAATCTCTTTTTTCGGTTTGATACCATACTAACCAGGTTCGGTACCATGTCGGTTCGGTATTTTTGCCTACCCCTAATAATTTAGAATGTTTTTACTTGGACTTATTTAAGCCCCACACCAGACCAGAACTGATCACGCCGGACTTAAATAGATCAAGCTAAAACAAAGCAGACTAAACCAAACTAAAATAGATTAGACCAGACCATTTCGACAGTTATAGAATATAGATCACACAAAACCAAATTAGACCATACTAGATTAGACTAGAAAATTTGAATCCGGTAAAAATATCCTTAGTACCTCACATTTAAGTGTTTTCAAAGTTTTGCTTTTTGAACGGAGTTGTTTTCACAGTTAGGACCTGCAACAATTCTTGGTGTACACCCTGGGTTACACCCTCTTTATTTGTCATTCCCACAGACAAAAAAGTACAAATACAGACACTTTCGATAAAACTGTCGTTGTGAAAAAATTGGTTTGCTTATTGATGTACCTTTTTGCAGATCTGTCAGAGTGGTTGCACGGAAACCAATGTCTGTGTAGACAAAAAGTGTTTGTACATATACAATTTTGTCTGTATACACAGACATTTGTTTCGGTGCAATCTAACCTTGACTTTTTTTAACACTATTTATCTGTGTACCCAGACAGTGAAAGAAAACAAGTGTCTGTGTACATATATTTGTTGTCTATGGCGAATATATGTAGAATGTTACTAGTTTTTTTTGTTTCATCTTTCATTACAAACAATATCTATCATTATTTAGTACCATACAAACAAAAATTAGTTTTTTTGTTTCATCTTTCATTACAAAAGAGGAGGACGAGGGGGAGGGGGAGGGGGAGGAGGAGAAAGTGGGGAGGGAGGAAATAAAAAATGGGGGTGTACTGGTTATAATCCAAGATGTAGCTAAAGAATTATTCTAAAACCTATTTAGGCTTTGTTTGTAAGTGCTTGTGCTTAAATAAAAGTAGTAGTAAAAGTTGATAGTGTTTGGTAAAATAAGTGCTTTTTGTGTAATAGAAAAAGTAAAAAGTAGATTCTACACGAAAACCGAAAAAGTAAAAGTTGGTAGTGTTTGGTAAAATAAGTGCTTTTTTCTTAGAAAAAAGCCACAATCACTTAAATTAAGGGGTTGCAAACAGAGCCTTAGTCATGCACGTTTTTAACAATTTAGAAGCGTCTCTTTTACCAATAATTTACTTTTTTTAATATTTTTTTGTCTTAGTTATTACTCCCTCCGTCCCAGTGGACTTTGCCAACTTTGCCTTTTTTGTTGTCCCAAAAAACATTGTCACTGTTACGACTTTTTCTGGTGTCCAATCTAGTTAGATGTCTTTGTATTTGTGTAGTTGTTAGTTAAATGTGTAATATGGGTCACAATTAAATATTAGCCCATTAGCCTCTCTTGTAAGCCATAAGTTAGCCATCCTCTCCTATAAAAGGAGGCTAACTTATGAGGAAAACCTAGCGAAGGCATAGAGCATAGAGGCAGATTAGAATAGAATAGTTTCAGGCTGCTCTCTCTCTCTCTCTCTAGAGGGAGAGCAGCGGCCATTTGACACGGTGTACCAAAGTTCTCGACATTTATATATTGAATGAGAAATCTATCTGCTTCTTCTATCATTCTTATGATTGTTTGATTGTTAGAAATAGGGATCAACATGTGGTATCAGAGCCGAGGCGTGAAATAGATCGAATCCATCTGCGTTTTTCGGATCTGCCTTTATCGAGAAAGACCTTACCTATTTGAAAAACTGAGTTTTCGATATTTTGGTTTGATGATCTGTTTTCAATGTTTTTTCAACGATTTCTGGAAGATTAGGATCGAAATCTATTTGAAAACAACCTGCAATTTCATATTTGAAGAAATTTTTATTTTTAGAGTTGCAGATTTTCGAAGCTTGATGTTTCTCGATGTTTTGGAAGTTTTCGATGTTTTCGCATTTTAACTTCTTAAATCTTGTTTTTGATCTAATCAATGTAAAAGGTATACTATTAGAATCGCCTCTCAGAACCGATCAAGCAGTATATCCTCATTTTTGAAACCTGTAATTTTCGAATTTTTGATTTCTCGATATTGTCTTATCGAAAAACAGGTTCTCACAGGTTTGAAGCTCGAAAACAGGTTTCTCGCAGGTTTGAAGCTCGAAAACATGTTTCTCACGGATTGAACTTCGAAAATAGGTTTCTCGCGGATTGATCTTCGAAAACAGGTTTCTCGCGGATTAAAGTTCGAAAACACGTTTCTCGCAGTTTGGAGTTCGAAAACATGTTTCTCGACATTCAATATCGAAAAGGAATTTTTCGATATTCAACATCGAGAAAAAGTTTTCGATAATCAAACATCGAGAAGAAGTTTTCGATATTCATTCATCGAGAAGACGTTTTCGATATTCAATCATCGAGAAGAAGTTTTCGATATTCATCATCGAGAAGACGTTTCCGATATTCAACATCGAGAAGATGTTTTCGATACTCAACATCGAGAAGATGTTTTCGATACTCAATTATCGAGAAGATGAATTCGACATTCAACATCGAGAACAGGTTTTCGAGGTTAAACATCGAGAACAGGTTTTCGAGGTCCAACATCGAGAACCTCAACTTCGAAAAGTTTTTCAAAGTTCAAAATTCAAACTTTTCGATGTCATGCACTGTTTTGGTCATAACTTTTGACTCGGTGATCCAATTTACGCGTATAATACCTTTTCGGAAAGCTCATGAAAAGATCTACATGAATTCTTGGGGGAACCCTAGAACCATTTCTCACGCTCCCTCACTCGCCTTTGTTGAGGGAGATATCATCTGTTTTCTGAAAAATCACCAAAGTCAAAGTCAAGGTCAAAACTGAGGCAAATCTGGTCAATTCTTCCAAAATCAAACCAAAGTCAAACCAAATGTCAAAGTTGGTCTAATCTACACTGTAAGGTCCGGAACTCGTAGATAATTCAATCAACCTCGCGTTAACGATCATTTCACAGCAATCAACAATCAACTACTGATGCCTCCCCTAACTCATCAACAATGTGTGATCATCACTGTGCTGAATTTCTAGATGATGAGTTCAGGGTAAACCGTCATGTGTGGTACCTGTACAGATTGCTCCATACACATGGAAAGTATATCAAGCTGTGAGCAATCAACCCTTGCACAATCTGAGGGGGAGTTTCAGGTTTCTCCTCCTGGCGCCACACAACAACAAAGCAAGGATTCTCTCAAAGGATGCAACATTTGAGGGGGAGTTTTCAATTTTCTCCTCCCCGGTGCCAAACGATAACAAAGCATACCGAGTGCTCCAGTTGAGGGGGAGTACAGAGAGAAAATAAAGCAACAAAGAGAATGATAGAGAAGTCCCTATGACTTAGTAAACCCAACTAAGCCTACCCAAGGGACAAAGCCGAGAGTAAATGAGTGAATGTGTGAGTGAGTGAATACTATGAGTGTTAAGAAGCAGAAGGCTCAAGTGAGCAAGAAAACAATATTCAATGATAAGTCTGCTACCTCAACTCCCTACTAACAATTGAACATTTACTCCCAGTCACTCAAATACTCTGGACAATCCCCATAGGTTCAGGACTAAATTTATTCAGATCCCGGGTAGAAGTCACTGCATCTTGTCCAACAGTGCATGCATAACCCTACCCAAGACCACTCATTTGTCTCCCAACAGACAAGTGTTTAATCATATTTCACGGGGAACCTCATCTCTCATTACTGTCTCCTTTCGAGGCAAGTGATACTGACTACAGTGGCCTCAGCCCCATGCCACTGGACTTTCATTGATCACGATGTGTCTAGTTATCTCACTCCCAAATGTTTTTGAATTTTCTAG